GCCCGTATGCGTCACCCACACGCATTTCGGCACACACCTCACACGTTTCGTGGCCCCATAGGGAGCTCCACCGAATGCCCCAGTGCCACCGCCCGCATGCGTCACCCACACCCACATCGTCACTTTCCTCACGTTTCGTGGCTCCATAGGGAGCTCCAACGAAGGCCCCGGTGCCACCGCCCGCATGCGCCACCCACGCCCATTCCGGCACACTCCTCACACGTTCGTGGCCCCATACGGAGCTCCACCAAAGGCCACAGTGCCACCGCCCGCATGCGTCACCGCCACCCATTTCGGCACACACCTTACGCGTTTCGTGGCCCCATAGGGAGCTCCACCGAAGGCCCCAGTGCCACCGCCCGCATGCGTCCCACACACCCATTTTCGGCACACCCCTCACACGTTTCGTGGCCCCATAGGGAGTTCCACCGAAGACCCCAGTGCCACCGCCCGCATGCGTCACCCACGCCCATTCTGGCGCACCCCTCACGCGTTTCGAGGCCCCATATGGGGCTGCACTGCAGGCGCCAGCGCCACCGCCCGCATGCGTCACCCGCGCCCATGTCGTCAAACGCCTCACACGTTTCGTGACCCCATAGGGGGAAGGCTCCAGTGCCACCGCCCGCATGCGTCACCCACACCCATTCCGGCACACTCCTCACACGCTTCGTGGCCCCATAGGGAGCTCCACCGAAGGCCCCAGTGCCACCGCCCGCATACGTCACCCACACCCATGTCGGCACACTCCTCACATGTTTCGTGCCCCCATAGGGAGTTCCACCGAAGGCCACAGTGCCACCGCCCGCATGCGTCACCCACATTCATTTCGGCACACCACTCTTTCGTTTCGTGGTCCCATAGGGAGTTCCACCGAAGGCCACAGTGCCACCGCCCGCATGCGTCACCCACACCGATTTTGTCACACTCCTCACACGTTTCGTGGCTCCATAGGGAGCTCCAACGAAGGCCCTGGTGCCACCTCCCGCTTGCGTCACCCATGCCCATTCCGGCACAACCCGCACGCGTGTCGTGGCCCCAAACTCTCTACCGAATGCCCCAGTGCGACCGCCCGCATGCGTCACCCACACCCACATCGTCACACCCCTCACACGTTTCGTGGCCCCATAGGGAGCTCCACCGAATGCCCCAGTGCCACCGCCCGCATGCGTCACCCACGCACATTCCAGCACACCCCTCACGCGCTTCGTGGCCCCATGGGGAGCTCTACCGAAGGCGCCAGTGGCTGCGTTCGCATGCGCCCACCGCGCCCATTTCGGCACACCCCGCACGCGCTTCGTGGCCCTATAGGGGATTCCACCGACGGCCCAAGTGGCTGCTTTCGCATGCGCCCACGGGACAATTTTTGGCGCCCCTCACACGTTTCGTGGCCTGATAGGGAGCTCCTCCGAATGCGGTACATACAACGACGGTACTAACAACTGCATATGGTTGGGTCTTTCGCCAGGCTAATTTTCTTGTGCTTTCTTTTGCAATCCGATTGCTGTCGGTGTTCCATAATGGTGCTCCCGCTGCGGTGTAGGCCAATTTTTTCGGATCGGCGCTGTGCTCCCGTCGTTCAGAATGGCGCTCTCGCCCCAGCGCGGGCCACTTTTCTGGATCCGTGTCTTTATTCATTGTCGTCGCTCCCCTTATTTCCCCTCCTCCGCCTTCCCCTTGTCCTCCTAATTTCCCCCGCTCCTTCCACTCCAGTTCCTGCTGCTGTTGTTCGCACGCAGGTCCCCTTTTTTTCCGAACGCGCATAACATGATGTGGTCTTTTGGCTGGACTTGCAGGTCGACTTTGGCACGCGTCCGCGGATAGAATCCAAATCAGCGCCCTGGGAAGGGATGGGATGGGAGGGAAGGACAGGATCTCAGATGAGGCGCGAGCGCACCTTGCTTGTCTCCCTCCTCTTTCTCTCTCCTTCCTCTGAGCACACCTCTGGCCATGTCTGCGTGCGACGACGATCTCCTTCCTCCTGACCCTTCCTCCTCCTCCCTGACCCGCCTCCCTTCTCTGTCCACTCTCCCTCCGTCCTCCCTCCTCTTACTGCTCCTGCTCCCCCTTCCTTATCAGGGACTCCTCCCTGTCGCACCCCGAGACGTGTCGGTAGGGCGGGCCGGGCGTTTTGCGTGAGATCTCTTCACCAGTCATGATCCTTAAGCCTAGACTTGCAGCAGTTTCACGGATGGAGGGCGGCCGTTTTCAAAATGTGGTTCTCGCCTTAGCGTCGGGCAATTTCGTCTTCAACGTTTGCAAGAGTTTCACGGATGGTGGGCAGGTGGTTTTCAAAATGTGGTTCTCGCCCAGGCGCCGCGCACATTTGTTTGAAAATGCTTTTTTGTTTTATTTTATTTTGTTTTTTTTTTCTATTGTTTTTTTTTTGATTTTTTGTTTTTTTTTTATTTTATATGTTTTATTTTTCTTTTTTTTTTTTTTTCTTTTCTTTTTTTTTTTCATTTTTTGTTTTATTTTTCTTTTTCGTTTCGTTTTTTTTTTGTTTTTTTTTTTTCTTTTTTTCTTGTATTTTTTTTTTTTTGTTTTTGTCTTTTATATTCTTTTTATATGTTTTTTTTTTATTTTTTATTTTTATTTTGTTTTGTTTTCTTCTTTTTTTTTTTGTTTTGTCTTTTTCTTTTTTATTTTTTACTTTTTTGTCTTCAATTTATCGCAAGAGTTTCAGGGATAGAGGGCGGGCGGTTTTATAAGTGTGGTTCTCGCCCCAGCGCCGAGCACGTACGTCTTAAACCGTTGCAGGAGTTTCACGGATGGAGGGCGTGCGGTTTTCAACATGTGGCTCTCGCCTTAGCGCCGCGCACATTCGTTCTAAGAGTTTACAGCAATTTCACGGATACAGGGCGCATCTTTTTCAAATTGTGACTCTCATCGCAGTGCCGCGCACATTCGTTTTAAGACTTTACAGCAGCTTCAAGGATTCTACGAGTTGACGTCCTGCAAACCGTGTTTGGGCAGCACGGAGGATTACCAGGGCGCGGCAGTCGCGTTGATTCGTGATGTTGAGTCCAGGAGTTGGTGTTCTGGCACGATTCAGGGTCCTTAGTGTGCAACAGTAGCTTTGATTCGCGGCGTTGAAATCCCAGGAATGATGTTCTGGCACGGTTCAGGATTTTCAGACGGTTGTTATCCAAGGGGGCTTTTCTTTCAGTGACAATGAGTCCTTGTAGGGACTTGCGAAGTGGGAATTCGGAGGGAGGGTTTATGGCAACATCGTTGGTGCATTTTGGGTTTACTCTAGTCCTCCTTGTTCTCCTCCTTGCCCTCGTCCTCGTCCTCGTTCTCCTCATCATCCTCCTCCCCCTCCTCCTCCTCCTTCTCCTCCTCCTCCTCCTCCTCATCCCTCTCCTCCTCTTCTCTTCCTGCACAACTGCGCAGTGTGAAAGCTACGCCATTTTGCGCAGGATTGGTACGACGTCTTGCTCCTTCTCCTTCCTACACAGTGCTTGCGCTCAGGAGGAGGGGGAGGAGGAGGGGGAGGGGGAGGATGAGGAGGAGGAGGAGGAGGAGGAGGAGGAGGAGGAGGAGGAGGAGGAGGAGGAGGAGGAGGAGGAAGAGGAGGAGGAGGAGGAGTAGCAGAAGCAGGAGGAGGAGGAGGAGGGGAGGTGGAATTGTATGTCGAAGGAACTCGGCCTTGTGGTCGGTCCAGCCAGCTTCTGGCCGCCGCATTGCCGCCCGTCGCTATCGTCCTTCCTGCTCTTGATTTTCACTGTGCGAGGCTCGCATTTTGCATTGCTTTGTGTTGCTTTGCACTTCTTTGCATTGCATTGCTTGGCACTGCTTCGAAATGCCTTGCATTGCTTCGTTTTGTTTTGCATCTGCTTGCATCGTATCTTGTTGCTTTGCCTTGCTTCGAATTGCTCTGCATTGCTTGCACTGCATTGCTTTGCATTGGTTTGCACCGCTTTGCATTGCATTGCTTTGCATTTCGTTACATTGCTTTGCATCGTTTTTTCATTGCTTTGCAGTGCATTGCATTGCATCGCTTTGGATCGCGCTGCGTGGCACTGCAGTTGCACTGCGTTGCTTTGCATTGCTTTATGTTGCTTTACATTGCTTTGCCCTGCATTGCGTTGCTTTCCATTGCATTGTGCTGCTTTGTGCCACACCGATTGCACAACATGGTTTACATCACATATAGCACCACACTGATTGCACCACCTGGACTGCAGCGCGTACAGTGTTTGACATTACGGTTTGGGGTCCAAGATCATTGACATTGTTTTCATATAACATGTGTGTTCCCAATCCGTTGTACCCCTCTCGCTTGACGGCGGGCTAATTAGCCAGTCGGTTGCCCCGAAATGCCACACCCTGGAGCGGACTGCCTCTGCCTTGCCGCCGACGATCAAGCGTGTCCGAGTCCGAAGCATTCCGTCTTTCCAGATTTGTGTGTTCCCGCTGCAGCGTCGGCCTCAGATTAGGATCGGCGCTTAGCTCCTGTCGTTAAAGTTGGCGCTTTCGCCCCAGCGCGGGCCACAGCTCTGGATCCGAGCGCCTCCTCGCCGTTGTCGCCCACTTCCTTTGCATCTCCGTTTCCCTTGGTCCTCCTGCTCCTCCCGCTCCTCCTGCTCCTGCTGCTGCAGTTCCTCCTCCTCCTCGATCCTCCTCTTCCTCCTGCTCATCTTCCTGCTCATCTGCCACCCCCTCCAATACACACACACACACACACACCTTTTCTGTCAGCTTGCGCGTTATGCGATGGGGCCCTTCGGGTGTTCCAGGTCCGCTACGACACCCGTTGGCGGATAGAGCAAAGGCAGCGCACTGGGAATCAATACGAGTCAGGAGTAGGATGCCAGATCTGGCGCGAGTGCACCAGGCTTACATCCTCCCCCTCCCCCCGCCTCCTGCTCCCTGCTCTCCCGTGCCCCCTCTCCCAGACCTGGGAGCCCTGCGTCGGCGAACAGTAACGGCGCGACCGGAGAGCCGTGGGCTTCTTGCCTCGTTTACCGCGACCCGGCGTCGGCGCGGGGCGGCCGCAGGTTATTGCAAGAGCAACCCTCGCAAGATGGTCGCGCAGTGGGCCGAGAAGGAGATGCGGAACCTCAAGCGGTTCCACTGGGACGCGGAGGAGCAGGAGGAAAATGAGGAGGAGGAGGAGGCTCGAGAGAAAGAGAGGGAGGATGAGAAAGGAAAGAAGGGAGGAAATAATGAAGAAGGAAGTGAAGGAAGGAGTAGGAGGAAAGGGCGGACGGAAAGGAAGACGGACGGATGGAAGGAGGAGGAGAGAGGAGGAGGAAGAGGAGGAGGGGGAGTTGGAGGGTGATGATGACGAGGAGGAAGAAGGAGGAGGATGCATGAGAAGGGCCACTGTCTTCCGAAGACGCATCAACGATTCTGAAATAGGCCCGCCCTCCAAGTTCCCGCCTCATAGGTCCCCACAGGAGTTTTCCCAACCATCCTGTGGTGTTGGGTCCTCGTTTTGAAGAGACGGTGGCCCGCGTCTCCTCTCCTCCTCTCCTCCTCCTCCTCCTCCTCCTCCCTCCTCCCTGCGTTTCACCCACCCAGTGCATCGTTTCGTGGCCCCATAGAGGGCTCCCCCGAAGGCCCCAGTGGCAGGGTTCGCACGGCGGACTCGGGCCATTTCGGCACACCCCTCACGAGGATCGTGGCCCCATAGGGAGCTCCACCGAAGGCGCCAGTCGCAGGGTTCGCATGGCGGCATCGGGCCATTTCGGCACACCCCTCACGAGGATCGTGGCCCCATAGGGAGCTCCACCGAAGGCGCCAGTGGCAGGGTTCGCATGGCGGCCTCGGGCCATTTCGGCACACCCCTCACGAGGATCGTGGCCCCATAGGGAGCTCCACCGAAGACCCCAGTGGCAGGGTTCGCATGGCGGCCTCGGGCCATTTCGGCACACCCCTCACGAGGATCGTGGCCCCATCGGAGCTCCACCGAAGGCTCCAGTGGCAGGGTTCGCATGGTGGCCTCGGGCCATTACGAGGATCGTCGCCCCATTGGGAGCTCCACCGCAGGCCCCAGTGACAGGGTTCGCATGGCGGCCTCGGGCCATTTCGGCACACCACTCACAATGATCGTGGCCCCATCAGGGAGCTCCACCGAAGGCGCCAGTGGCAGGGTTCGCATGGCGGCCTCGGGCCATTTCGGCACACCCCTCTCGAGGATCGTGGCCCAATAGGGAGCTCCACCGAAGTCGCCAGTGGCAGGGTTCGCATGGCGCCCCATAGGGAGCTCCACCGAAGGCGCCAGTGGCAGGGTTCGCATGGCGGCCCCGGGCCATTGCGGCACATCCCTCATGAGGATCGTGGCCCCATATTTGTGCTGCTTCAACAACCGCGCCTGGGCGTCGTATTCCGCCTTGTCGACGTGCAACGCCACCTCCTCCCTCATGGCTCTCAAGGCCCTCTCCTGCTTGTACTCCTCGGTGAGAGGGGCGCCGTCCTTGTCGTAGTCGGCGCCCGCGAAGACGGCCACGAACGTGTACCTGAGCATGTCGGGCTCCGGCGGGAAGCCGTGGCCACATAGGGAGCGCGGGCGAAGATGGTATTCACAATTGCGGTATTCACAACTGCGTATGGTTGGGTCCTTCGCCAGGCTAATTTTGTGTCATAGCGCGACGTGCCCCATTGGAAGGCTTCCCCGACCACGTCTTAGACTTAAGTCGCCGCGACGAAAATACCCTTGGAAGACAACCGTGTCAGAATCTTCAGCTGTGCCAGACGTGACCGTTGCGTCCTGGCCATTTTGGATCGTGGCAGAACGCCGCTCCTGGGGCCTCAACCTCGCGAGCCCTCGACCTTATTAAAGTCTTTCACGCGACCGTGTGCTGGCACTGGGGCGAGAAGCACATTTTGAAAACTGTCCGCCCTCCATCGTCGAAGCTGCTGCAAGCCTTACGGCGAGTGTGCGTGGCGCTGAAACGAGAACCATGTTTTGATGACGGCCCGATATCCATCCTTGAAGCTGTTGCAAGCTTCAAAACGGATGTGCGCGGCGCTAAGGTTAGTAGTAGAAGTAGTAGTAGTAGTAGTAGTAGTAGTAGTAGTAGTAGTAGTAGTAGTAGTAGTAGTAGTAGTAGTAGTAGTAGTATTCGTACTACTAGTAGTAGTAGTGGTAGTAGTAGTAGTAGTAGTAGTAGTAGTAGTAGTAGTAGTGGTAGTAGTAGTAGTAGTAGTAGTAGTAGTAGTAGGGGTGGTGGTGGTAGTAGTAGTAGTAATAGTGGTGTTAGTAGTGGTAGTAGTCGCAGTAGTCGTAGTAGTCGTAGTAGTCGTAGTAGTCGTAGTAGTCGAAGTAGCCGTAGTAGTAGTAGTAGTAGTAGTAGTAGTAGTAGTAGTAGTAGTA